CTTCTTTCTCTTCTCTCTCTCTCTCTCTCCTCTCGTTCTCCTCTCTCTCTCTCTACTCTCTGTTGGGTGTGTGACGGCCGAGAACAAGCCGAGAAGCCGAGACATAGGCGACATCTTTCGGTAAGGGAAAATACCCGTTCTGTCAAATCATGTTCATAGATGGCGCATAATGACGCATTCCGACTACTCTTGATATGATTCAACGTTTCGCTGTACAGTCACTGCATTATGAGCAAAAGGATATAACAATCAAAGTAACTAGCCGTACGTCAATCTTAATTAATGTAACTATACGCTCGGTCCCTCCAAAAGAACACGCCACACAAAAGAATCGTATTAACGTAATTGACAGACAGCCGCATCTGGATGACGATTAACAGTTCTTGATTGTGACTAAAGCAGTACACAAGCATCGTTACAACTTTCGCTGAAGTGATCTAAACTTGGTATAGTCTTTTAATAAAACCAAAAAACGGACTCGTCCAAGCATTGAAATTAAAAAAAGTTTTTGTTTCAGTTCTTCAAACGTATATTATAATATCAAAAGTAAATATCTATTTGATATGATCGATAAATCGATTATTGATATCGATGAGACGCATGGCATTGGCATCACAGGTACAACGTTATACACTAGCCAGCAATCCACGTGCCATAGCTGCGTCTGCATCTGTAGACATCCTAACGCGTACGAACACGACGAGAGTTTACGAGGCGAAAGATAAGTAGTTGAGCCATTTTATGCAGAATAAAGAGGTTTTTATGCCTAAAACCAGGCAGCAGTGTTACACAGATGCTAGAGGAACATATATTTAAGGTAGATTCCATGGACGTAGCTGTTTAACGTCTGCGTACGTTTACGCTATAAACAACATTCAAACAACATTACTGAGAATGGCGCACAGTGACAACGTTTAAACCGAGGCTGACAGTTGAGTCTAGAGTTAGGGTTAGGGTTAGGGTTAGGGTTAGGGTAGGATTGATATATAAGGGTTGAATCGGATAACTTCCATAAGGTAATTATACTTTTGAACGATTCTGCGAATGGTGTGGCAGACCATTCAAACATTGTCGCTCCCTCGCGTAAGAGATATCTTCCGGCGACAGAAGATTATTCACTAAGCCAACAATGCTGCCGATGGAAACCATATGCATCACATCGGATTCAAATGCCCACATACAAAATCCTCGTGACACAGGAGTGTTTAAGATCTTATTTCAACACCTAACACGGGGGATGAACAAATAAATTATACAAACTTTACGCCACACGAAAAAATCGTTTTAAAACCCTATATATATACGCCTATATATAAAGAAAACGCGCGCGAACTGTGAACTTCCGTCTTCACTCAAAACTACACATCAATTAAAACGTATATAGATTGTTATCGGTTGCTCGCCTTTATCACACCGCTGTATCACGCGCGCACACACACGCACGGCACGCGGCAGCACACACGCCACCGCAACGCACACACACACACGCCACGCACGCTACACAATCGTTATCATACCGCTGCTATCACGCGGCGCGACACAACACCACGCACGCCACCAGCGCACACCACGCACACACACAAATCGTTATCAATACCGCCTGCTATCACGCGCGCACACAACACGCGACGCACGCGGCACACACGCCACGCACGCACGCGGACACACGCGACGCCGCACACACATCGTTATTCATTTACGCTGTATACACGCGCGCACACACACGCACGCGCGCACACACGACGCACGCGACGCGCCACGACACGCACACACACGCATCGTATATCATACCGCTGTATCACGCGCGCACACACACGCACGCCACGCGCGCCACACACGCACGCACGCGCACACACCACGCACGCACGCACCGGCGCACACACACGCACGCGCCACAACACGCAACGCCACACACGCACATACGGCACGCACACGCCCGCACCACACATCGTTATACACCGCTGTATCGCGGACGCACACACAAGCGACGCACGCACGCACACACACGCCACGCACGCACGCGCACAGCACACACACGCACACACACGTTTTCACACCGCCTGTATCACCGGCGCGCACACACGCACGCACGCGCGCCACACAGCACACGCCACGCACGCACACACACAGCGCACGCACGCCACGCCACGGCACACACAGACGACAACGCACGCACAGCGCACACAACACGCAGCGCAAGCGCGCACGCCCGCACACGCACGCACACACATCGTTATCACACCACGGTATCACGCGCGCGCACACACCCACGCACGCACGCACCACACCGCACCGCACGCGCACACACGCACGTCGCACACACGCACGCACGCGCACACACACACGCGCGCACACACGCACGCTCGCGCACAACACACGCCAACGCGCACACACACGCACGCACGCACCACCAACGCACACACGCCACGCACGCGCACGCCACACACGCACGCACGCACCGCACGCACGCACGCGCGCACACACGCACGCACGCACCGCACACGCACTCCACGCGCAGCGCTTATTTCACACCTTTTTAATTTGTCGCCACACACACGCACGCTTATACACACGCACGCGCGCACAACGCACCGCGCGATACATATATAAAGCTCGCTGCAGCAGTTAAGAATCGCTTCCTCTCGTATTTACTACTAGTTGTTTGTTGTTGTTTGTTGTTGTTGTTGTGTGTGTTGTGTTGTGTGTTGTGGTTGCATCGGACTGCTCTCGCACCTCACATGGCTGCGATACACAACACCTCTGCCGAACAACTTTCTTGCCAGACAATTCTTTGCGACATTCTCTTTTGCAGACGGCTCTCTTGGCGACAATTCTTTTGCTGACAACAATGAGTTGTCGACATCTCGTTGCGACAATTTCTCTTGCGACATATCTCTTGCGACAAGCTTTTGCCGAACTCTGTAGTTCCGACAGTTTTCTTGCCGACACTCCAGCAAAGAAACGCACGCACACGCACACGCACACGCACACGCACACGCACACGCACACGCACACGCACACGCACACTCATATAAACGCACACGCACACGTACACGCACACTCATATAAACGCACACGCACACGCACACGCACACGCACACGCACACACATATAAACGCACACGCACACGCACACGCACACGCACAAACATCACGCGCACGCACACACATATAAACGCACACGCACACGCACACGCACACATTTATGCGCGCGCGTTTATTTGCGTGTTGCACATATAGAAACCCTTTGTACGTATAAATACCTGTAAGCGCGCATATCTGGTATACCGTAGCTCCACGCACGCGGACCGAACCGACCCACCCACTTAGAAACCGAATAACGATAAACCCGAACAAAACAAAAACATCACATCACATCCGGCATAGCCGTTAACAGATCAGCTCGTAGCCACAGAGGGCGCTGCGGGCGCCAACAACGAGTTACGAACATAGAACTAGAATAGAAGTTCTATTCTACTTCTATTCTACTTCTATTTTAGTTCTATGGTTACGAAGCACACGTACGTCACTAACTCGTCCGTTTCTGCTCGGCTTGTGATGTCTTGCGCAGTAGTTAACCATCGCGAACTCGACTAGAGAGAGAAAGATGAACACCGTGCACACGTTGAACCAGATGTCGATGGCTTTAGTGTAGGAGACCGGCGGCAGCGAGTAACGCACGCCCGACGCTTGCGTGTAGATGGTGAGAAACGTGGTGACGCCTAGCGGTGAGAGAAAACACGCAGTTATAACCCTGAGAACAATATATACATTGTATAATTCATATTGTATAATATAGTATATATATTATATATATTATATATATTATATTGTATCATTTATATTGAATAATTGAACAACGTAGGCCCTATATATTGTCATCCAACCGCAACCACTATACTAGAATCCAACCACTAAAATCCAATCTAACGAGTCCAACCTAATCGAGTTTCGCGATTTCTAATCAAATCGAATTACTCTCCTAATGAGATCGGCGCTGTCACAATTTTGTAGCATTTGTTAGGTTGCTATTTCGTTTTCGATATATTTTTGAGTCGATTTGATTTTGGAAGGCAGCGTTGCCATCGCCGCAATATAAACATCAATATGTGACTGTTGATAAATGTTGAAAGCCGCAATATGTCGGCTTAAAAAGAGCTTTATAAAGTAATTTCGAGTGTTTCTTGTTCCGAAATGAAATCATGATTTTGTACTCAAGAGAAAATAAGAAAATTTTGTCGCATTCGTAGCTTACCCAATGTTCAAGCAAGGCTTACGTACCTGTATTTATCAATATTTCCTTGCGAAGTTTTCCGAAAACATACGTGTTCTAAAACTACGTGCGCGCTACAATGCGTACCATCTCTGACCACGGGCACTTGGAACGTTTCAATAGTAAAATGATAGTAAATAAACACGAAATGTATTTACTGCCAAAGTCTTCATGTTTCTCTACTCTATTTTGCCTGCCATTGCCGATAATTTCCCTTAAATGCTGTTCAAATTCTTCTTGCGTGCACAGCGGCGTGCGTGCGGTGTACTTGCGTGTTGCAGTGTAGCATTAGAACGACGTTTACAGGAAATTATCGGCAATAACAGGCGAAAGAGAGTGTAGAGTGAAAAAAAAGTAGAAACACTTCTTTAAAGTAGAAACATTAAGACTTTGGTAGAAAATACATTCGTATTTTTTCACGTTTATTTTACTATTGAAACGTTCCAAGTACCTGCGTCTCGGACCATTTGCTATACCCTGCTTACCGAGTCCAACTCGCGCCGGGGTCGCGTCAGGGTGAAGCCAGAAGGACAACCATGAGCAGATGACGAGCAGCGCACAGGGTATGAAGCTCTGAGACATGTGGTAACCAAGGTGACGACGGAATGTAAACTGCACTTTCAGACAGCTGAAGTTACCTAATAATAATAGTAATAATATTAATAATAACTAGAGCACTCGGAGAGCACAGACCTCCGCCAAGGCAGCTGAATTCTCTCAATGTTAAATTTTTTATTAATTAATTAATTAATTAAGTGGAAAAATTAATTAATTAATTAATTAATTAAATAATTAATTGGATCCGGATTAGTGCGAGCGTGCAGGTGGGGGAGGACTGTGGTTGGCCCTTAGCCAGTGGTTGCGTGTTTGTAAGTCTACAGCCAGCGCACCTAGCGGAAGTGAACTGAAACGTGCATGGTAACACACGCACACACACAAACCAACACTCAATGGCACGCCGGTGAAAACATAACCTCCGCCACGCCCCTGGCGGAGGTAATAAGAAGAAGAAGATGAAGAATTATAATAATAATAATAAACTCGTCACCAGGCATGATCGCGGATAACATCAACAAGCAAACAAGCAAACAAGCACACACACGCACGCGCGACAGCGCCATCCATGCAGGGGCTCGCGTGCATGTACATACCCACGTATTGCCGTTCCCTGATGCTACAAATAAGCTGTTATAAACCCCTGACACGGACGCTCATGCGATATTCACACATCTAACAGCAGGTTATGTGAATAGCTGTGCGAACTATTAGGTAAAATTACGGTGGCCTACATTATAAAATTATGTTAACGTGCAGCATTGAATAGTGTGTGTGGGTGTGTGTGTATATATATATATGTATATATATATATATATATATATGTATATATATATATACATTATATATATATATATAATATATATCATATATATATATATTATGTGTGTTTGTGTATGTGTGTGGCGTGCTGCGTGCGTGCGTGCGTGCGTGCGTGCGTGCGTGCGTGTGCGTGTGCGTGGCGTGTGCGTGTGCGTGTGCGTATACATGTGCGTTTATGTGTACGTGCGCGCGTGCGCGAGTGTGTGTGTGTGTGTGTGTGTGTGTGTTCCATCGCTTGAAAGTCCTTTGTATTTATATTACGTTGATATAGCAAATACTTAATTCCTTTGCATTTTTATACATATTAATTATTTCAACATCACATCTATCACATTACGGAATTAACCTGTGGGTTCGACGAATGAGCTTCACTGTGGGACATATACACGCATGCTAGAACTCACTCCGATGCGATCCATGGTAGAGTAAGTACTAAGAAACTTCGTTCATCTATATGCGGATATATACCCACTAGACTCATAATTCAAGGTTTTCGCTAGAATAAGATGGTTTTATCGTGGATAAAACTAAATCAATGGCGGTCGTACACCTGTTATACATTCACGGTATAAATTTGTTTCCCACCTTAGAATTTTAAATAATTTATTGCGAGTATACAACGACTAACTACTAACTAACTAACTAACTAACTAACTAACTAACTAAACTAACTACGAACTAACTAACTAACTAACTAAACTAACTAACTAACTAACTAACTAACACTAACTACTAACTAACTAACTAACTAACTACACTAACTAACTAACTAACTAACTAACAAACTAACTAACTACGCTAACTAACTAACTAACTAATTAACTAACTAACTAACTAGCTAACTAACTAACTAATAACTCGCCTGTATAGTGATAGTTGCCGCCACGGAATCGTCTTGGCAATCGGATCGAGGAACTGGCGGCAAAGAGATATTGGTGTTCACGCTGGATCGTGCTTGTCTCCTTCCAGACAAAAAAGTACTTCTCTGTCCGTGTGTCCGACTGCAACGATGACGTTACAACATGAAGCCCGGTGCGCCGCCGCAGTTGTTACCGTACACGGCGGGCGTCTGCGCGTGCGCAGGGGGGCGGACGTGTGCAGTCAGTTACAAGGGGCTCGCTACGCACGTTGCTGGGTTTTTCTAACTTAGAATGATGTCGCGCAATAATGAACGAAGAACGCATGCGCAAGGTTGTCGCTTACGCTACGAATTACTATTATAATCATTATAATATAATAATTATTATTATTTATTATTATTATTATTGTTACATTAATTGCTATTGATATTTGTTTGAAGTTGTCGCTGCCTGTGGCCCCCAGTGTAATGCATCACTCACGTTGTCAACCAATTCTATGAAAATGACGGTTGGTTTATAGACGCGTCAGTTTTTTCGTTTACGGCTGTTTGCGGCCAATATCGCTAGTAATAACGTTAACCATTATACTAGTAAATTTGTGACGAGTTTAAATTTTTTTGCAGAATAACTATAGTGCTTCCATTAAGGTGTTGCGGGTGGCGCGGTGAAATTTCGTAAGGATTCAACCACGAGAGTAATTTGCTAAGAATAGGGCATCTAAAGATGCGAAAACAAACAAAAGAAGTTTTATCCATTCTAGCGCCACGTTCTTAACTATTACCGCGAATAACAACGTAAATGTTCAAATCAAATAACACGTCTGCGGTGAAAATGGCGCTACGTAATTTCTCCTTTTCTCGATATTTACACGTTTCGCGTATACAAGGTAGCGGAGTTTCATATCAAAATAAGCAGGAAGCGATGCGAATAAAACTTGCAGTGCGCATTTTCTAAAGAAAAATCCTCTATTGTGAAATTATGAATGTCAATCAGTTGAAATATAAGCGCATGCCTCATCGTCGCATCAACAGTGCAACTCCGCAGAGACCAGAACTTGTGAAAAGGCAACCCGAGAGTCTATTCATGATATTCATGAGCAGGCGCTCGCACGCGACCGTTCGTAAAATTTCAAGCGCGTTTCGTCGGCGCTCGGAATAAATTCGCAGCTATTTGTCTCGCGGTGCGCATTATTTCTGCATCGTCATGAGCTAAGCTCGGAACTTAGAGAGATTCAGTCTGCGAGTAACATTGCTCGAGGGCAGTAAGGTACAGACTTTATACGCCAGGGGCGCGTCGATCGACATCAATAATAGTAGTCACTAAATAACTCGTAGTTAAAGGCGGCGAACGGAGGATTTTTTTAACAGATAATTGTCATTAGCGGGCCGGAACATACTACATAGATTCATGGACTTATAAGATGGGATGGCAGCATTTGTTAAAAGGCCGTGTGGGCGTTCCGCTAACACGATAACGACCTCCCATAGTGCGCACCCATAGGTGCGCGCTCTCCAAGAGTGAGGATGGATATTATATAATTATATTATATTAGTGGTTCCTAACGCCCCCCTTTTTGAAGTCCAGGATCCGCTTTTAGAGGAATGCTTCGTGAAATCTACGGACCACCTGCCCCAAAAAAAATGCACATAAGCTGCATCACGCAAAGTTTTTATGTGGCCTGGTCAGCGGACCCCCTGAAGCCCTAATCCACGGACCCCCAAAGGGCCACTCGGCCACAGGTTAAGACCGCTGTATTATATTATATTATATTAATTACATATAATTATTATAGATATAATTGCTCCGCTTCGGGAGCGTATAGCTGGGGCGATCTGGTTCTATTGTCACTCTGAGACTTAAAAACTATGCGCTAGATTTACTGTCGACTTCATCATTTGTGAACATCACAAGCTGGTATTAACGAAGCGGCGTTTGCTAGGTTACGCGGACGACTTCCTCGCTAGCTTTAATGATTACCCGCGAATTATTAGCTAGAGAATGAAGAGAGAAAAGACAAAGAAAGAGAGATTACTACGACAACATGAGCCAATTTTATGTTATTATGCTAGAGAATGAGAGGGAAAATGAACTTTGTAAGTATGTGAAATAAAAACAGAGAAATAGAGACAGACAGAGAGTGAGGGCGAGAATGAGACAGAGGGAGAGAGAGAGAGAGAGAGAGAGAGAGAGAGAGAGAGAGAGAGAGAGAGAGAGAGAGAGAGAGAGAGGAAGACAGCAAGAGATAGAGCGTGTGACCGAGAAGCTTAAAGCCTTTATTTCGAACATAATTAGCTTCAAGCTAAACCAACCAGTCTCGTGTTTTTCTCACTTTTACGACACTTTACCACACGTTATTGCTTGAGTAACAGCAACTGTCTAGAGTACTCTGTATTTCCATGTTGGTGATAATCAGTAATATATCCGCTATGATGTGGCACTATATTTCGCTATATTTTTTCTAGATTGATCGTCTGGGAGCAATGATTTCGAAATGAAGGCTTTAACGAATACTACGACAGTGTGTTAATGTATGTTATTAGCTAGAGAAAAAAACGTGAGATACACAGCGAGTTGTGCGCAGCGATTAAATAAGTGAGGAAGTGAGAGAGAAAGAAAGAGAGGAAATGAGAGAGGAATTGAACGCGAGAGGAAAAGAGGAAGAGGGAAAGTGAGAAGGTTGTGTGCCCGAGAACGGGAGAGCGAGAGGAGGGGGGAGAGAAGGGTGGAACGCGAAAGAAAGAGAGCGCGTGAAGGACAGAGAAATAGACAGGTGGAAAGAAAGAAAGCGACCGCGCGCGAGAGATAGATAGATAGATAGATAGATAGATAAATAGATAGATAGATAGATAGATCGAGAGAGAGAGAGAACGAGCGCGAGAGAGACACACACAAGGACAGAGACAGAGAGAGATAGACAGAGAGAGAGAGAGAAAGAGAGATATAAATCACTTACAGCTTCCTAACTGCATGAGACATTGCTGCGTATCAAAAGGATAATCCACCAGGTTCATTTGGCACATAAACGTCGATGAGACTCTGTTGATAGAAAAACAACCAATTGATATCTCATCATGTTTGTTAACAATACATCATACACACACACACGCACGCACGCACATGCACACACGCACACACAAAAACATACACACGCACGCACACGCACACACGCATACACCCCCCACACACACACACATATGCACGCGCATGCGCACGCACACACACACACGCACAGGCACACGCACGCACGCGCGCATACACACAAAAACACACACGCCCACACGCGCACGCCCACATGCACCCACGCACGCACGCACGCACGCACGCACG